TCAACGGGTTCAAAAGAAGGTCTGCTTCTCAGGACCAGAGATGTGAAGTAACACTGCCTCTCAGCAAAACCGTAGGGAGTGCGGGCGGGAAGGTAGGGGCGGTTTGGCTTTGTGGTGTTACTCAGCATCAGACAATAATGAAAATGAATCGTAATTTAGGCCCCACCGAGGTTGGTTTAATTTTTCTGCGAAGTCCTGGGGGCGGCTTTGGGAGCCCGGCTCCGGCCTGCAGTTACCCGGATGGGGGACCCCACGGTCTGGCTCTCCCGGCCCGGCAGCCTGGGGGCTTCCACGTTCCTGTGCTGCCGCCTCAGGTCCAGCTCACCCATCCCAGGTCTGGGCCGCTGGGGCGCACCCAGGCCGCAGGGAGGGAGGCCGGCGCCGCTGTGGAATGTCTTTATCGGGACCCGCGAGCAACCCGCTTCTCCTTCGCTTCTTTAGGCGATCACGGAAAGACACCTTTCGATCTTTTCTCAGACATGTTGGCCCTTAATAGCTAAATTTATTTGGTTTAAAGCGGCCCTGGGAGAAGCAGTGAGGGAAAAATCTTTCGTCGGTCATTGGGTGGCCTAGATAACAAGCTTTAAAAGAGAGAGGGGAGAAGAAAGTAAAAAGGTTAATGGATGAGGGGAGGGCTGGAAGGCGCCCAGCGTGGGGCTTTTACAGCGACCCTCCCCCGGCCGCCCCTTATCAGGGCCCTAACTTACCCTCGGCGTATGAAGTACATTAAGTCACGTAAACAGCGCGGAGAGGAATGCCACCGCGGTGACCTTTCGTGCGCCGCCGCCTCGAGCCCACCTCCGCGCCGCGCTGGCGGCCGCCGGCGGCGCAAGGGGCGGCCAGGGATGCGGGGTGCGCCTGGGGCTGCAGGGCGAGGGGCAGCTGGCGCTCCAGGATCTCGATTCCGGCGCACGGGCGGCGGCCGGGGATGCGGGGTGCGCCTGGGGCTGCAGGGCGAGGGGCAGCTGGCGGCGGCCGGACCCGGGCGTGGCGCTGCACGTTCCTTACCCAAAGTGACCGGCGGCGGGGCGAGGGGGTTGGGGCGACCTGTCGGCTGCGCAATGTTTGCGCTTTCGCCGCAACCACCTGACATTTCTAAAGAGTATTTGGGGGTTTTCGAGAATTAAAAAAATAAAACAATATTCCCCTCCCCCTCCTAAGAAACGACCGTCAAGACTCCCGGCAATGGCCTGTGTTGGACTGACAGCCTCTGAGGAGGATGGGGTGGGGACACACGCTGCCCGGACCCACCTATTGGGCCCTGACACTGGCTGGGTTGGAGTTGCCGAGGTGACCCCGTGTTCTTCGGCGAAAGCGTCCCGGGGACAGGAATAAATATGGTATCAGCGAGAAGGCACCATAAATCTGGTTTAAAAACACTCCCAATTTAAAAATATGCCTTAACTCAGACGTTGTGTTCCTTTTCTTTCTGCAATGTGGCTGGGACAGCTAGGAGCTTGGAAAATGACAGCACAATGAACTTAAGTTTGCGAGAGTCAAAGCGTTTGGTAATGAGGGTCTTCAGGGTCTCGCTGCTCCTCCGGAAGCAGCCAGAGCTAAGTCCCCAAACACCCTCCTTAGTTTGGTAGCAGAGCCCCCGCCCCCTGCCCAATTGGCTGCTGTTTTCTGGCTGAATTCGAATCGCGATTAGCGGTGTGGCACGGCCCAAATAAATCAGTCCGGGGGACAGGCCGCGCCCTGGAGCCAGCCCCACTCCGAAGGTGGGGAGGGCTGCTGGGGAGGGACGGCTCGCTTCGGAGGGGCCACCCCATTGGGTCTAAATAGTCTGGAGAGAAACGATTCCGTTTCAGATTAACAAACCCCAGAAAGAAGGGACAGATGGAAGGAAAAGGAAAAAAGGAAGGAAAGGAAAGGGGAGAAAAATTAAGCAAAGAAATCACGAATAAAACAAAACAAATTCTAAGAGACTGCCTGTCTACCTGGAACACTATGGGGGCCTTCTGCAGCTCTTGGATTTCTAATTTGGGGTGCACTTTTTCCTGCACCCCTATTCTCCCCACCTTCCGAGACCTGCTGGGGTGTTCAGAGAAAACCCAAAGGGCCTGGGGCCGGGGAAGGCTGGCTTGGGAAATGTACCGATCCTCCGGAGTGTTGTCCCCAGGGCCAAAGTCGATGCATTGGGAAAACTGCAAACTGGAAGGGTCAGGCAACCTGGCTTTCGGTCTGAATAAACTCTACAGGTTAAACAGTTTTATTTTTAAATTAACTGACAAGGAAAGCGTTTCACTACCCATTCCCTCCTTTGGTTGGAAAACCAATCTTAAAAAAAAACCCAAAAAACAATTTGTGACCTAGCAAAGGAGCAATGACCTTCCTCTGCCCCCTCTTTGTTTTAGACAATGTGAAAAAGAGTCTGGGAATCTGGAGGATAAAATGCCGAGTCCCTTTTCGGGGCCCTCAGAACCCTCACGTTGGGGACCCTGGGTCAGTGTCTGTCCTGCCGCTCACCTATGTCCCAGCAGTGCCGGAGCCAGCTCACCCACTCACCACTGCTGTGGAGCTGTGCGAAAAGCAGGACCCTGGGGGTGAGCTGTTTGTCCAAGGAAATGCACATGGACACCCCGGTACTTGCAAATATAGAGAAACACACACAGTGGGCATTAGATTTGCACAGGGCAGGGTCTCCTCAGCGCTCAGGCTTGGAGGCCCTCAGAGCCTGGACTCTAATTGGCCCAAAGATTTGAAAACCTGTTCTCATTAGAAACCAACTCACCAAAATCTGAATTAAAAACAAAAAAACAAACAAACACAAAACCACTTTGCTTTTAAGAGCAAATCTGAGAACCATTTAAAAACAGTTGGACTCAAAAGAAATCAAATGTCCATAACATTTCTGTAACTGCTTACAAAGGAGCTTCTGCAAAACCCAGTCTATTTAAAAGTTTGGTCGGAACTCAGGTAAAAACCAAAATAAAGACATTGGAAGCCCTGGCCCGAGGTAAGTGCTCGGCGGACGCTGGGCTGTCTTCTCCTAGTCTCATTCGATCGAACTCAGGTTAACACTTAAAGCCCCTGGATCCTACTCCTGTCTCAAGTCTCCGTTCCAGAGTTTCCTACCTTCGGTCTTTCCGAAATGTGGCCACAACTGAAACTGGGAGCCGCCACAGTGATTGGGGGAGGCTGAGAGGAAAGTAGTAAAAGTGACTAAATTATATGAGAACGGTTTATGGACCTTCTCAGTAGCAACTTAAAATTCAGAAGTGTTCAGCAGCCATTTACAACGAAGAATGAAGAAAGACAGAATGAGCTGCGAACTTCCTCGATTCTGCGCCTGTCTCCATCGCGCTGCCAGGCCCTGTCCACTTCTCTCTGCTCCTCGGCCCCCGACCTCCCCCCCTCCCCTCAACACAGAGGTTCACAGCTCACAGTTGTATTGAGAGACTAGGTCTCACAATCTTTCGAAACCATATTTTACGACTCCCCTACCTACATTGGTTTAACAGTGTTTAGGTTCCTCTCCCTTCCCCCAACTGAAAAACACAAAAACAAACAAACAAAAACAGAGCCCAAACGCTTTCAGGGAGACTGACCTTTAGAAAATCATTTACTTCGATTTACCCGAAAAAAAAAAAAATCCATTCCCACACAACTGCTCCTGCCCCGGTTAGAATTCTCGAAAGCCTTCTGGGGTCACGTCTGTCGGAAGAAATCCTTTTTGTGAGCGAAAGGGAGCGAGACCTAATATCAGGGCTTCTGCCGCGGACGAACCCGTGGCTGCACGACTTGCTGATGACAGATCGGCGCTGATAACCCTGCGACGTTTATTTCCAGTCCCTTTGCCGGCTAAAGACCGTATCAGTTTGTACACAGTTGTGATAACCATTTGGAAGGAGCGAAGAAGGGGTGTGTATAGAGGGGGAAGCGGTATGTCGCGCTGGGTCCAGGGAAGGTGACCTCCCCCCGCCCCCTCTTTCCAACGACTTATCTGAGACTCACCTGAAGCTCTCCAGGGAAAGCTCAGAGCAAACGAGACACCCAAACCCCGAGAGCATCTGCGGGCGCTACTGGCTGGAAGCCAGTGCACCCCACGGACTAACCTAGCACCGTATTTACTAACTAACGTAAGTACACCATGGCCCCTAATTGAAAGTCCTAAAAGTTAGCTAAGGATTACCGACGTGAACTTTCCAGAAATTCAGTATGTTTCTATAAAGAAGAGCACAGATAGGGAGCTGAGTACTCGAGTTCCTTCTTTCCCACATCATAGAAGCCTTAACCTCGACGGCCACCACGACCATCTGAGCTCCAGGGTCTTGAGCAGAGGTCGGGGAAAGTTTAAGGTCGATCACACACAAACGCAGAGCAAAAAGCTCATTTAATGTGGAGGGAGGAGGGGAAAGCCAGCGGAGCAAAGCATTTTCCCTCCTCATTCCGGGGGAGCGTGGACCCAGCAGCTGGCGCGTCCCTCCCACAGCGGTGGCAGCGCCGGGCTGTGCACATCCAATTCCTCCCGTGCCAACCTCCCCCACCCCCCGCGAGTGCGTGTGTAACTAGTGGCGGAGGACAGTGCTCCGCCGAAGGTAGGGTGTGGGTCGCCTGGCAGGTCTGGCGTTTGGCCACCTCCGCCCCTCCCCCGGCGTCCTCGCGGTCGGCGCCCCCTGGATGCACTCGTCCCCACTACGAGGACCTCTCGGCTCATACCCGCAGGCTGCGTAGCGCTCATTGTCTGCCTTGGCGGCGCGCTCCCCTCCCCCTGCAGCCCGCCGTCCCCTCCCCACCCTCTTTTTTCTCCTCCCCTCGCTCCCTCCCCTCCTCCTCTTCCTCCTCCTCTTCACCTCCAGCACCCAGCAGCTTGCAGAGCGCAGTTCCGACCCACAGCCTGGCACCCTTCGGCGAGCGCTGTTTGTTTAGGGCTCGGTGAGTCCAATCAGGAGCGCAGGCTGCAGTTTTCCGGCAGAGCAGTAAGAGGCGCCTCCTCTCTCCTTTTTATTCACCAGCAGCGCGGCGCAGACCTCGGACTCGCGCTCGCCTGCCGGCGCCCTCGGCCTCTCTCCGCGCTCGGGAGCACCCTCTACTGCGGCCGTTCTCCATGCGCAGCGCCCACTCGAGGTTCGGCTGCTTCCTCTTTTGCTCGTGTTCCGCTCTTTCCTTCCCTGTACCCCTGTCCGTCGCGGGCCCCCGGGCTCTGGGCTCCCGGCCGCGGTCGGCTCCGAGGGTGTCTCCCTACTCCGCTCCTGGGAGACTGAAGCGGCTCCCACGTTCCCTGGACACCCGCGTACCAACTTCTTTTCCTCTCCCTGAAGCGCTTATCTGCACGCAGGCTTATCTCTGAGTTATCTCGGCGCAAAGGGGCGGAAGCCGCAGTCAGACGGGCAGAGAGACTTCTTTTCTTGCTATCTAGCCCCGGGTCTGTGTGGGAGCATTCATTTCAGTGTGGTTATCTCCAATGAGCCCAAGCGATTTGGAAAGGCAGCCTGGAGGGAGCCTCCCCGGCTGCATTTGCCTCCCTCCTTAAACCCCTCCGAGTCTCTCTGTCATCTTCCTGCTCTCTCCTTTGGGGTGGCTTCGGCTCCGGGGCGGTCTCACGTCCCCCCTCCTTTTCACTGCACTCCGCTCCACCCCGTACGTCCGATTCCGGAACGGTCTGGCCTTTTCACTGCTGGGGATGACTGCGGGGTGGGCTGGGGTGCCCCGGCCGGCGAGAGCGCACGCGCTGGTGGCTGCAACGCGAGCCGCGACTAAGGTGTGCGGCGCCGCCACGGGAACGCGTGTTGGGTGTGAATCTCGGCCCTGCGGGCACCCCTCGTTGCCTGTGCCCGGAAGGTCCAAGACTGCCGTCCCCGCCCCAGGCCCCACCTTCCCAGGGCTGAGTTGCACTTTTTCTCCGGGGCTTGCGTTCAGTCTTGTCAGCGCAGTCCGGGAAGCTCTGGGAGAGCCCGTGCGAGGGAACGCTGCGGTTTCGTTTTCGGAACAGGTTGCCTTCCTTACGCTAATGATTTCCCCGAGGGCTGGGCGAGGGGCACCCGCATGGTGGCGGGATAGGGCAGCGCGGACACGTAACTCTACTTAAAAAGTTCTTTTGTGTGTGAACGGCCCGGAGGGAGCCACTTTGAGGAGGAAGGAAATCCTCGGCCGGCCTCGCAGTCGCCCCTGGGATCAGGCGCGCGCGTGGATGAAGGATGCTGCGGAGGGGGAGAGTGGGGAGGGCGAGGGTACCAGAGAGGTGGGGGTGTGGGAGGGCTGTTAACCCCTGTCTTTGGAGGATCCAGTGGCGGCTGCGCATGTCACGGTCCCCTCTAATTCTCCAACTCTCACTCCCAGGGCGGAAATGGGATCTTTGAGAAACCTCATTAGCTAGGAAAGGGAGTGGAAGTAAGATGTCGTATAGCCTGCGCTTTTGATAACCCCTTTTTATTTCTCCTCCCGTCCCTGTTTCCTCGCCTCAGGAGCTAGAAGTCAGCTTGCAGCGGCGCCGGACTGTGGATGGCCTTGACTGAAGGCAGCTGGTGCCTGTCGAAGCGCTACGGGGCGGCGGGTGCGGACGCGAGCGACTCCGGAACCTTTCCAGCGCGGGAGCCCTCCACGCCTCCTTCCCCCCGATCCTCCTCTTCCTCCTCCTGCTGCTCCCGGGGTGCGGAGCGCGGCCCCGGCGGCGCCAGCAACTGCAGGACGCCGCAGCTCGACACGGAGGCGGCGGCGGGACCCCCGGCCCGCTCGCTGCTGCTCAGCCCCTACGCCTCGCATCCTTTCGGGGCTCCCCACGGACCTTCGGCGCCCGGGGTCGCTGGCCCCGGGAGCGCCCTGTCGAGCTGGGAGGATCTACTGCTCTTCACTGACCTTGATCAGGCCGCGACTGCCAGCAAACTGCTCTGGTCCAGCCGCGGCGCCAAGCTGAGTCCCTTCGCACCGGAGCAGCCTGAGGAGATGTACCAGACCCTCGCCGCCCTCTCCAGCCAGGGGCCGGCCGCTTACGACGGCGCGCCCGGCGGCTTCGTGCACTCGGCGGCCGCTGCGGCGGCGGCGGCGGCGGCGGCTAGCTCCCCAGTCTACGTGCCCACCACCCGCGTGGGCTCCATGCTGCCCGGCCTGCCGTACCTGCAGGGGGCGGGCAGCGGGCCCGCCAACCACGCGGGAGGCGCGGGCGCACACCCGGGCTGGCCCCAGGCCTCGGCCGACAGCCCCCCGTACGGCAGCGGAGGCGGCGCGGCTGGCGGAGGGGCCGCTGGGCCCGGCAGCGCCGGCTCGGCCGCGGCGCACGTCTCGGCGCGCTTCCCCTACTCCTCCAGCCCGCCCATGGCCAACGGCGCGGCTCGGGACCCTGGGGGCTACGCCGCCGCCGGCGGCGGGGGCGCGGGCGGTGTGAGCGGCGGCGGCGGCGGCAGCCTGGCGACCATGGGCGGCCGAGAGCACCAGTACAGCTCGCTGTCGGCCGCGCGGCAACTTAACGGGACGTACCACCACCATCACCACCACCACCCGAGTCCCTACTCGCCCTACGTGGGTGCGCCGCTGACGCCCGCCTGGCCCGCCGGACCCTTCGAGACCCCGGTGCTGCACAGCCTGCAGAGCCGCGCCGGAGCCCCGCTCCCAGTGCCGCGGGGCCCCAGCACGGGTAAGGGACGAGCCGCCGCGGGGGGTGGGGGGCACCCGATGGGACCCGAAGCATGGGGGCGAAAGCGGGCGTGGAGCAGCTCCTTGAATTGGGCCCTGTTACTTGAATTGGGCCCTGTTTTCTGGGCTTTCCTGTCGGGGTGCCCAGAAGTCGGGTTGGCCCCAGGCAGCGTTTGCCGGCCTGTGTCTGGACGACCCAGAGTCTGGCAGCGTGGATGTGGCGCTTCTGTTTTGCGGACTGTTTCCTTTCCGCCAAAGAAACTGAATGCGCATGTATACCTCAGCGCCTAGGAGAGGCTCAGAGGGGATGAGTAGTGAATGGGGTGGGCAGTAGAAAGGAATGAAGTCGGGAGGGAACCGATAGGGCCTGAGCCCTGTGGAAGTCTCTAGTGTTGCATGAGTGGAAGAGTGAGATTCCTTTGGCTGGTAAGTTGAGAGTGTGGGGCACTTGATTCACCCTGTCCTCAAAGACACACACAGTCTTGCTCAGTTTACCTCTCCAAAGGTGAGGAGTTGTTGTGTGTGTTTTCCTCAGGGACGGTGTTGAAAAGGGCTCCACAATGGAAAAAGACCTGAGGACCTAGTTGGCATCCCCACCTCCCCTCAGTGAGAGGGGAAGAAGACTGAGAACACCTGGACTGGAAAGCTGGTGGGGGGCCCTTTGGGCTTTGGCATCAGTTGGTTGGGGTGCCTGGGGCTCCCACATCTACCCTTCCTCTAGAGTTCAGTCACCAATTTTTCAGTTTCCAATCCCACTTGTACTATCATTCCAGTGTCTGGGGCAATTTGTGGATGAACTGGGAAAACTCAATTTTCAGAACACCTGGAAAACAGCCCATGTTGAAATGTTTTGTTCACTGATGCAGGGGAGGGTGTGAATTGTGTTGTCTGGCCTGACAGAGGCACTTTGGCTTCTTAGCAGCAGCATTCTGGTGTTTCACAGGTCTCGCTTACTTTATATTTAATTTGTTCATAACCTGGCAGACTCTTTAACACAAAGCCTTTTCTTTTTTGGGTGTTGTTTGTTTGTCTGAGGGGATCTGTGGAAGTCACGGGGTGGCAATGAGGAAGGAGGAGCGTCGGCCTAAAGTATTTTACCTGGTGCTTTCACACCCCAGGTCTGAGCGCCTCAGCCTTCTATTCTGGGACAAGAAGTCCTTTAGGGGCTCTGATTAGTTAGGATATATGAGGCATTGCCAACCTTGTGTTCAGAAGACATGCTGGAAACTCAAGTGGCCTGAAAGTGAAGGATCTGATCTGAAAAGCATTAGTAATAGTGGGAGAGGGCAATACCTTCTTCCTCTCTTTCTCTACCCTCTCTTAAGATTTTGGTCTCAAAATTTCCTCTTCTTTCACTTGCAAAGCTGCCTCTGGAGACCATCCTCAGGCTTCACGAATCAGGGGATGGTGGGCCCTGCAGATTTGCTCTTCTGAGTAGAGACTTGAGAAAGCAGAGCACTGTCACCCTTCCTGATGCATAGGGACCCATGTCTGGCTCCCAGGGAAGGAGGGAAGAGAGAAGTGGGATCTTCAAAGGATGGGAAAGGGGTGGGTGTTAGGGTGTGAGGCTTTTGTCAGTTAAGGAGTCTAGCAGGGAATCTGAAAGGGTTTGTGAGTTGGGTCTGGGACAGCTGCAGTTGCAGCAAGGTTGTGTAGCTCAGCCTGTCCCCTGACACACCTTAGCGTGATCTACATGTTCCTTTCTCTTAGTCTTCCAGCATTTCACAGGAGAGAGACAGAGAAGTAGTGCAAAAGACATAACTGGAGTCTTCGGGTGTTTAAAGTAACTGGCTCTGTGTGGAAAATCCTATGAGAGGTAGTAGGGTGCGATTGCAAGCAAGTTATGTTTCTCTTCATTTTAAACTTGGATGATCCTTTCACCAATGTTTTCACTTTCTGGTTAGGACACTGCAAAATTAGAGAAATCTTCTGTAGACCCAGAGTATATTAAAAAAAAAAAAAAACCCAAAAAACAACCAAACCAAACCCCAAAAAACAACAACCCAAACAACCAAGAATGGGAGGGGTTTTGGAACACCCAGGTTTTTGCATGGAGTCAGTTAAGAAGGCAGGAGGCTACTGAGTGAGAATAAGCCAGTCTGGGGCTGGGAGAGGCGAATAGCCCTACCTCTGCTTGCCTCACAGGTGTTCTTTTGCTAGAGAGAGCTCGACCACGAAGCCTCTCTCCATCCCCAGCTTCCTAGCTAGAGTTCCTGCTTCTCCACTTTTTTTTTTTTTTTTTTTAAACAAACCATTTCTGGAGACACTCTTTAATTGATTTGGGTGAGCAGCAGGACTAAAACCTGAGTGCTGAGCTTTCTCCAACTGCCCAGTGTGGAGGCTCCTGGGAACCAGCTCCATACTTCTCCCCCTGGTTCTGGTAGTGAGTGGGTGGGGAATCCTGGGGTGCGCTCAGGGTCCTCACAGCCCTTCAGTCCATGCGCCCAGCCCTCTCTTAAGCTCCTGCTAACAGTGTTCCATTCTTGGGGTCCTCGGGAGACACTTGTTGACTGAGCCCTTCTCCCCTGAGTCTGTCATTCCCAAGGGGTGCCCAAGGCAGCCATGTTAGGAGAGGGATGGTGAGTGGGGGGAACTGAGGAAAGGGCTTCTACCACCATCAGATTTTATACGTTTAAAAACATTTTTCTTATTTTAATCAGTTAAGGAATTGTAACTGCTGAGTGAGGGGTGGGGAAAGGTAGGGAGGGAATGGGAGCTATAGATTTTATATAACTAAAAATAAGCAAACTTCCTAAATTTTATTTATCCACAGTGGACTTTTAAGTTTTCAGGTAACTGAAGAGATTTACCTGGAGAGTTCGCACTGTCTTATTGTTCTAATCTCGGGGAAGGAGGCCAGGCACAGGTCTGGTTTCTCCAGGGAATGCCCCTCTCCTCTATTGAGAGAGGCTCTGATAGGTAACATTTTAAAGTCAACAACAAAGACAAATAACTTGTTTAACTTCAGTGTCCTTGAAGTCCTGAGCATTTTACTGATTACCGTAGTCAATAGTGGCTTTTAGGGCAGAGGAGAATAAATCTTTGTGATGTTGTAGGTTGCAGTATCCCCATGACAACTTTGAACTCAAATTATGTAGGATGCTAGTTTCTTTTAAACTTATTTCTCGAGGAAGGAGACTTGTTTTGCAGGGTAAATAATAAGTGGAATTAAACACATTTAAATGTCTTTACAACAAACAGTTAATGGTAGTAACAAACAGTTAACTGCGCAGGAATGAGAAGGAATAGAAAGGCTCAATAGCACACAATCTTCAAATAAAACTCTAAAGTGTAATGTTTATTTACTTTAAAAATTGATTCAGAAATTCTTAAAGAAAGCTAATTGAGACATTTAAACCCTTTATAATATTAATAACCCTAAACAGGAAATATTTAATTTTTAAGTATTTAACAAGTTCTTATTTAATTAATAAGTACCTATCTCATTAGATAATATTTATTCATTCATATTTAACCAATTTAGGGTAGGTAATAAATATTACAATCACTTATTCTTAAGATTGTTTTTAAATAACAGGTTTTGATTAGTTGTGAACTCCAAAAACTAACCAAGTAGAAATGACAAACACAATTTAGAGGGATTGCATACGTTGAAATTTTAATGTAGGAATATAGGAAACAGTTTTATTTAGCACTGGGGTGGTCTTAGTAATTTTCTGGATCAATATAATATGAACTGTTTATAGAAATTTTGCAAATAGAAACAATTAGACCCACTTTAAAATCAGAATAGTTCAGTGTTTGGTCATTTGGCATGAAAATAAAACTTAACATTTATCTTTGCTTATTAATATTAGTTCATTTCCTCCCCTGAGATCTGAGACATTTTCTAATTAATTGGTATAAATGCTCAAGAACAGTATTTATGATTTCATTTGTCTTTTTAGAGGGGGGATAGGCAGGGTGGCAGAGTAAATACTTTTTAAAAGAAAAGGCAGACAAAGGAAATAGGGGAACCTCCCTGCGTCCTGGGATACTTGTGGGCTGGAGCAGGGGTCAGTGATCAGTGTTAGTATAGCATGGTTTGCTCGAGTCGGGAAAGTGGCATACTGTAATTATGATGGATTTCAGTTTTGAAAAGCTTGTGAACAGCCAGAAAGGAGGGGTCAGGGGACCCAAATCGATCTCCCCACGGTTTATCTCTATCCTGAGGTCCGTGGTGGTAGAAGGCAAATAACTCAGGCTCGGCTTCCAACACTGTCCTCTACTAGACTTTTACTGGATGCGCCCAGGGGTGCAGAGAATGGTCAGCGATCGATCGACAGGGACATCACCCCGGCTCCCGGCCTGGCTCCTGAGTAGAAAGATCCGTGGGGAAGGGCGCGGGCAGGGAAGCGGGCAGCGCGTCGTCAGCACTGGGCCCGTGCGGCGCTGGGGGTCTTGGCGGGATCCTGGGGGAGGGGCTGCGCAGCGCGGCGCGGCCTCACCCAGACTTACGTCCCGCTCTCACCGCAGACCTGCTGGAGGACCTGCCCGAGAGTCGCGAGTGTGTGAACTGTGGCTCCATCCAGACGCCGCTCTGGCGGCGGGACGGCACCGGCCACTACTTGTGCAACGCCTGCGGCCTCTACAGCAAGATGAATGGCCTCAGCCGGCCCCTCATCAAGCCTCAGAAGCGCGTGGTGAGTGCGAGCGCAGCCCTCGTTCCCTGCGGCCCGCCCGACCCACCACCGGCGCCCCCGCGGGGACAGGTGCCGCGTGGCCGGGAGCCCCCGGGTCTCAGCCCAGCGCAGGGATCACGCTGTATACCCTTCATTCCCCCATTTACTGGTGCCCGACTGGAGGTTATTCTGAAATCAAAGTCTCAGGAAGGAAAACAGCCTTTTCTCCACCTATAACATAGGGAATGACATCTTATATGAAAGGAAAAAAGAAAGCTGTAGGGTACTACCATTTTTTGAAGTACAAAAATTTGTATTTACATATCTCTTTACGAATTGGTAAATGCACTGAAATAATTCTGGAAGGAGACACAAGAAATTTGTAATGATGGTAACCCCGGGAGAGAAAGACTGAGTACACGGACCCAGGTCAGGTGAAGGAAAGAGATTTTTTTCACTATGCACCCTTCTCTGGCTTGGATTTTATTTTTGAAAAACGATGCTCGTTCACCACACCCCTCCGCAGCCCCCTGAATAGAACATGACAACAAATCCATACTCCCTTTCTCCCTATAGACTCATTGCGGGTTTCTTGGATTCTGTCCCTTCTATGATAGCTCTGGGTCCCTTCTACCTCCTTGGAGTGAGACAGGTTTTAGCTGCAAATTTCATCCTTCTTTTGGATTACCCTTGAGTCTGGTGAAAATTTATTTACTCTAACCTTTGTTATTTTGAAATCTGGCTGTTCACAGAACTACATAGGACTTGAGGAAAAAATCTAGTCTGTGTTCTTCACAAGTTGAGGATTTTCGCCGATATGAATGGACACGTTTTACTGTTTTAACGTGTGGGAATTCTCATTTTTTTCAGGGATCAATCTTTTATTAACTTATTATCTCTTACTTTTAAAGGAAGGGGTACTTAGAAAAAAATAAAGCTTTCACAAGCCCCACTGTAAGGCTAACATTTGTTTAGACAAGCATACATACTCTAATACCTTTTAAAGTAAAATATTTTACAGTTAGATGCCAGACATCTTAAGTATCCAAGTAATTTATTTAATTGTTATTCTCTAATTAGCAGGAACAAATGCTACACATGTTGTTTGTGTTAAACAGATTAGAGTAAAATTGCATCACAATGTAAGTCTGACACCTTAAGGAGAAGCAATTAGTTTTATGGTTGTTTTGTTTTTAATGCGTTTAAATAAAATGGCCAAGGTTAATTTAATGAGTGTATGTGCTTTAAACTTGTTACAGCCTCCCACAGCTTAAAAATTTTCTTCAAAGGCCACCCTTAACTTCAGTGCCTGCCTGACTCCCTATTTTTCTTACAAGCATGATATTAAAAAAAGTAGCTGGAAAATGTTCCAAGGCAGTTCTTTGTTTTCATATATTAGCCTATATTTTAACAATGAAACTGATTATTATTATTATTTTGGAAAGGTGCATAGAGCTGAGAACTAGCTGAGCTCGGAAAAGTAACATTTTCTTGAGATTGAGCAAAAAAACTGGTAGAATAGTAGCCATTTCGGTTCTAGTTGCATTATAAATTTAATCTAGTAACATCCATATTTAGACAGTGCCATTGGGTTTGTGCTTTTACAAGTAAAAATAACTTTCCAGAAAAACAGTTTTTAACATCTCTGACTCAATTAGTTTCCCTTCTGTGTGGCAGCCGTCTTGGCAGTAACCAAGGTCAGCCAATATGCTGTGTAAATGGGTTATAAATGATACCAATTGAAGGGTGTGTCTATCAATTAGCTCTCCTTGTGGGCTTCTTATTTATGGTTTTGATAGACCTACCTTAGTTATCAGAAGTAGAATGTTGAACCCAAGTTTGTTTAGCCAGCAGTACAGAACCAATCACTGTGAATTTAAACCTGTAATACATTGCAAAATAAGAGATTTATGGTTAACTTGAATTCCTTGTCAGTGATGAACATAACTGAGATCACTTGTTACAAGGAGCTTTTATAACCCACTCACCTTCATTCACATGTTTATGAGGACTGGCTTCACTTATGATCTGCAGTTGACAGTCATAAAGTTCTTTGATATAATGGCAAATTCTGATAACAAGTTTGCTTCACATTGGCTCCAAATTCCACTGGAAACTGTCATAAATGACCTGTTTATAAAATGAACCTTCCTGTCCCTTGTTTTCTGATTTCACATTTATAAAGAGAAAGGAGTGTTCTCCTAGGAAATTATTTTCTTTTAACCAGAAAGGAAGAAAGAAAAAGAAACCCTTATGAGTAAGGTTTCATACGTTTTCATCATTTTAGCAAAGCAATTTGCTAAATAGTTCTCCTGTCATCCAAGCATATTCATTACTACCAAAAGTCAAATTGATTTTTTTTTCTTAACACCAGCTTCTTAAAATGCTGTAGTGCTAAGAGGCTTACCAGTGTCTCTTTGTTTTTATAATTTGTATGTAAAGAGTAATGCTAAAGTAATACAACAGGATGTGAATTGTAAATGAGAAATTCAATTGTATCTTTTAAAATTGCCACCAAAGGATTTGGATATCTCTGTCCTTTAATCTGTGAATGTTCAATACACGCTCAATTTTAATTTTTGTTGTGTGTTATTAACTTCTTTACAACTTAAATTAACTAGTATAGCTCACTTCCCAAAGTCTGTAGCTTTCATCTGCTTTGGTTCCTGGATTTCCCCTATAGCTTTTAAAAGAGGAGTCACAGCACCTTTTTTTTGTTTTTTTGTTGTTTTTTTTTAAGTTGTCTCTAGGTAATTTACAAACAAATTTAGATTTTTGCCATTCTAGGGAGGAACCTGATACTAGGTTAAACTCTCATTCTTTGTCCTTGTCTCATAATTTAGGGGAAATAAGTTCCCTTTAAGGATGTTATGGGCATAAGGGAACATGGAAATCATAATGACAGTAACAACGTTGACATTCTGATAATACGATTTAGACCCTTTGTGTGAAAAAAAAGTTCATTATTATACGGGCAGGATAAATAAAATACATTAGTATCATTGTATATAAGACAATGCCAGCATTAAAACAATGCCGTAAAATTTGCTTATCCTTTGCAAAAATAAGTAAAACAAAAATTCAGGCAGCATTTCATCATGATAATTATGGAATATATTAAAAATATATCTCTTTACAAACATTTTGTACATTTTCCAAAATCAATTTCTGTTCCTATATAGGTTCTTCAAAAATTTCTGGTTTGATCCGGTGCACATATCTGAGAAATAGACCTGATTATCTTAAGTTTTCAGGTGAAACAGAGACTGCCCAGAGCCATTTAACATATATTGGCAGGCAGTTGTGACTGCATTTCAGTAGTCTTCTATCTCAGACCCCTGACAACAGTAGGTGCAGTTACTGGCCAACATTGTGACTGGTTCCCGGTTATCCTATAATCTACATTAATATGCTGGAGCAAATCAAATGTATGTTTGGGATCAAGCACACTCTGTAAGACTTAAGTTTCTTCGGCCAGGAAGGCCAGAAATTTTTTCTCAAGGAACCTCTTATTTAATAACCGGGTACATGCTTGATGATGACATGCACATGATACATTCGTGTATGTAGCATATGCATAAAAATCACTTATCTAACTGTACACTTACTTTCTTGTGCTGCTTTCTAGCCTTCCTCCCGGCGGCTTGGACTGTCCTGTGCCAACTGTCACACCACAACGACCACCTTGTGGCGCAGAAACGCCGAGGGCGAACCTGTGTGCAATGCTTGTGGACTCTACATGAAGCTCCATGGGGTGCGCCACATATTCTGCTCACAGTGCATGTTTATTTAGTATAGTTTGTAAATGATTTCAGTTAAGAAAAAGTCAGAAGGAGAAGAGGATGAAAGTAAAAAAATCTGATTTTTTAAATATGCATGTTATTGAATCTAGGATATTAATTATATTAAACTATTATCTTAGAGGGCAGAAAGACACAAAAATCCTTCTAGTTAAACTGTCACACATGTCCGTTGTCAGACATCTCAATGTTAGAAATATTAAAATTGAAAAATGTGTATTTTAGACTTGATAAAATGGTAGTAACCCTTTAAAAAAACCTGTACAAAGAGAAAAAAGCATATAACCAACCAGAAGTGCACAATAACTATTTTACATCCTATTTTTTGAATGCAATTAAATATATTCATACAAAAGAGTAATATACAGAGTGGGGAGAAAGTAGGTTTACCATTGTTTACCACAGTTGTATAGGAAATAATATAATAATAAATAATAATACAAGAATAAACTGTTTCACATACAACTCTAAACCTACATTTGCTATATCCTGTATTTGGTAATTATAGTTAGAAAGATTCTATATTTCATTTTAAGGATAGCACAAAATATTATAAATACATCTATCTTAAAAAGGAAAATAACCTTGTAAATGTACAATAGGAAGAAGGGAGCACATGTGCTCTTTGAAATAAAAGTATGCATTCAGTGGTTTTACTCTATAATTAAAGTTGTATAAAACAATAAGCATTAATTGAGGGAATAATATCTCCCTGGCAAATCACTTCATTTTTCTTGAAGGAATCTGCATTTGTTGGGGTAAGTGTAGTCTTTGTGCAGTTGGAATCTATTGAATGTATATAAAAATTGAATTGAGATTGATGCCAAATTCTTTTAAATAAGGGCTTTCTGTACTGATGTTGGGTCTTTAGTTAAAGTTTGGGTTTGCTTCAGCATAATATTTATTAACTGTATAACCTATGTGGAATTTTTTTTAGGTGCCTCGACCGCTTGCTATGAAAAAAGAGGGAATTCAAACCAGGAAACGAAAACCTAAGAACATAAATAAGTCAAAGGCTTGCTCTGGTAAATATAATAAAATGCTATTTGGTTATAAAGTATTTGCCAACCTTTACAGTAGAGTATATGTATATTTATGAGGTTAATTTTGAATGTTGCAGGCAGTAGCAATAATTCCGTTCCTATGACTCCATCTTCCACCTCTTCTAATTCAGATGATTGCAGCAAAAATACTTCCCCTTCAACACAACCCACAGCCTCGGGGGTAAGTGTTAAAACAGTAGACTCTTTCTAAACTAGTGGGTATCTCTCTACTTTATTATCTCAAAGTTTATCTAATCTGGTAGTACAATAATCTAAACCAACAGTTCAGTTTAGTTAGCTGATACCTAAGAAAAGTTTTTAGAGGAAATTACATTTAAATGTCAACAAAATGACTAACTTAAGTACTTTACAAACCTCTTAATTAAGATCTATATCATATTTTTATGGTTAAATTAACCTGAGTAAAAGCTAGAAGTTTTGGGTTGAAGTGCTTTAAACTGTTATATTTCCAGGTATGTGTGTGTGTGTGTGTGTGCGCGCGTGCGCGTATGTATAAAACTTTTTATCTGTGTGTATATATATATACACACACACCTGGAAATATATATATTTTATATATATTAAAATAAATATATAACAGTATTATATATCATATATAGATGTATTTCTAATGTAGATCAAAAAAACTGTTAGCTCAGTTGTTTCATATACCCCGGAGCCCATGACATTTAAATTGCTTTTGCTTATCATATCAACTCCTGCTTTCGATTTTCCTTTCTCTTCCCTCCTCTTTCCTTCCTTCCTTTCTTCCTTATCATCTACTCAAAACACAGCTCATTGTAATATGTCAGGTGCTGCTGTATCACGGATCTTTATTCACCCAACTGTCCTCTTGCTAGGAGGCCTTGCCTTCTTTAAATGCACCTTAATTGTATCCAGGCTTCTTTAAGCCTTGCTACAAACCTGTGAGCAATTTTGTTGTGAGGGTCTTTGTGACGATCATACACCAAGTTAGTTTCTGTAAAGCTGTGATTGGAACTCAAGTTTTCTCAAGTGAAGAGCGTTTTCCCACACTAGTATTTCCTAAATTTATCTGGTTGCTGCTTTCAAGTGGCCAGGTTTCACCATAGGTCTCACTGAAATCCAGGGTGGGGCCTGGGCAGCATGTCCCGGAAACTGAGCCTAGTTTAGGATGAAACACCAGCCTTAAAATCCCTGTTTACTTAGTAATTGTTTTCTGCATTTAACTTTGTCCTGTGTGGGGTGCTTTGAAATACTATAGATTCCTGGGTCCCACCCTGGATTTTCTGGAGTCAGAGACTCTGGGGGTGGGGCTTGGAAGTTTGTGTTTCTGAACAAGTGCTCCAGGTGACCCTGAAGCCCTGCCCTTGAGATATCTTCCAACCAGGGCCTGAGAACCACAGAGCTGGTTTCTTTTCTTTTGTCATATTTTCACAGACCTAAGTAAATGAAAATTAAACAATTAAAACAGTTTAAAACTGTGCTTAAAATTATATTTATTTCCTTTGTCCTCTGTCCCAAATTCTTTTGGGCTTTTTCTTTAATGAAACAAGAATTTTGATCAGAGTTTCACAAGGGAAAAAGGCTTTCATTCATTTTTGTTTGTTGCAGACGGGTTAAAGAATGATTCTAGCCTTTATAAAGGGGGACTCTGATGTGTGATGTTTTTATAGGAGGGGTACATGAATTTTTAAGGATCTAAAGTGGTAAATAGAGCAGGTCCTTGTGGGGAAATGAAAAGATCAAAATTATTTAAAAACAATTTTTATGATGCCCTAAGTTCAGCTAAATGAGGCCAAACTAAGTTCTGGTTTCCTAAAGCGTTGAGGGAGCAGCCAGGTTTCCTGTCTGAGCGTCTGCCTTTTTTAGCAGAAATGAGGACTGCTGTCAGCCCCAGTTACTTTTGTTGTAATACAGTCCAGCTTAAGCATAGCAAAAGTCAGATTTGAATATACATGGCAGAGAAATAAATATTTGCCCAATGATGGGCTTTGGAGACTTGCAACCCTAGTGGGTGGAGTCCGTTTTGCTCTTGTGGTTCTGCAACTAAAAGTTCAAAACTGGCTGTTTGCAAGTCCAATCAGTTGCCCTCCCAGAGGAGGAACAGTGAAAAGTCTAGGGTGGGACCCGTCTGGAAGAGGAACCTTAGGAGGTATGCTTTGGTGTCCCAGCATCTCTCACCTGCGACCCAGAATGCTCACTTCCCTCCTAGAGGCCATGAGGCAAAGCAACAGCATTTTAGAGATTGAGGGATTTGAGAACGAAGAGTTCCACACAAGGCCTTTTGCTGTAAGTTCCCATCCTTTCCTGTGGCCTGGGCAGCCTGTGAGGAACTGAGGAACAGGCTGCAGACGGCCTCAGAAACACTTCCCGACAGCTTTCCCGGTGCGTGGGGGTGTGTGGGGTGGATTGCCCACCTCTTCCTTTCACCCAGAGACCCACTCCTGGTCTGCTCCACAGGCTCTTGGATGGCACCTGGGTTGTGGGTTTTCTCCGGATGTTGGCACATCAACTGATGTGCCCACCAGCTCCCACCTGCCAGGCCTGCTTGGCGGAAGTCAATCTGTTGGCTGCCTTTGGAAACTGTGCCCCTCTAAGAATAATTGTAGATTCCAGGCATCTCCCCAGGTCACTACCAAGGAGTGCCATTGTGCGCCTGTTGGTCCCTTAGCACTTTCCAGAGCCTTCTGGGTGCGCATGGCCACTGTGGCAGCTGAGCAGCTGTAGAGAGCAGGCTGGGGGAGTTACCTGTGAGCCCAGGGCAGAAGCACTTGTGAAAGTTGACGGTATTGACAAAGATGTGTCTTTTTCCCATTTTGGTCATGGTTTATGATACTGGAGGGCAGTTGCTGTTTGTGCTGACCACTTGCAGGATTTTGGTGAAGGGCTGTAAGTGAGGAAAATGTTATATCCACATAGCAGGGTTATATCTGGTATGTAGTACGTGGCACCTTCATTGGCTCAGTGTATATGCCTCCTGTGATGATTGGTACATCCCATAGATCTCCAGTGGCTCCTTTGGAGGAAACTGAGTTATCCTAGCTTAATAGGGACAACTGAGTCACAAAACAAAAGGTAATCTTAGGCATCCAGTGGAAGATAGGAACTGGGGCCAAATGTTCTTCCACTGAGAGATGTAGAGGGCAACGTAACTGCTCTACCTTTCCTTAATGTTTCTTATTGCAAGGATGTCAGACCTCTGCAGAGGTCTTAACCAAACTTGCTGTTTATTTTCATTCCCCCTGAGAAATTATCTCTGGGAGATCACCAGTGGGCATTCCTGCCAGGCTTCTTTTCAGTCTTGTTGTTCCTGCCCTGGCCTGCGTGTGGGCATGTTCAGGTGGTGTCACTAGATCTCCAGTGTGGCCTGGTTCCTGAGCTAGCCTGGCAGGGGCTGAGTGTCCTGGCTGAGTGTTCTGCTGCTATGCCAGGGGGCTCCAGGACTCCTTCCCCAGCAGGGCGAAGCTGTGGGCAGGATTCCTAGCACACAGCATTCGGCATTCTTCCAGGACAAGTGCCACAAAAATAATTTTTGTGCTGCTCTGAAGCCTCATTTCTTTGGTTTATTGGCATGTCTTAGCTTTATGTATAATATTTGTTGCCATTTTGTGTTTTGACTAGACCTCTGCCTGGAAAAAAAAGGAGTCATTCCTTCTGATGGTGATCAGACCAATGTTGTGGGCTGTGCGTGTGTGGGTGGGTGGGTGGGTGTAGGTGCTGGAGGTAGAGAGAGGATAGTTTGTTTTCTGTGTGAGATCAGGAGGACCCACTGCCATGCAGACCAAGATCAAAATAGTCCCTGTCCTGTTGCTTTGGAATCTTTATTTATTAAAAATGTTAAATTAAGTTTTTGATAGTTAATATTTTTTGTGACTTTTGAACTTAAAAATTTCCTCTATGTAGACTTTCATTGTGTCTAAAATTTTCTTATACATGTAGTTTTACTGAAAAATGTGTATTAAGTTGACCTAAGTAGACAGCAGGTTTCCTTTGGCATTTACATTCTCTGTGGAGTGTAAGAATATTTAAATTTTTCATTGATTTCCATTTTTCGAGTGAGTTCTGTTTTTTAGGGTTTTTCTTGTTATTGTTGTCTAGAAGGGAGCTACACTAACATGTTCTATTTCAGCAATTCCCAAATAAGATATAATAGTTTATAAATATTGTTATTTTCCCTATGACATAATTAAAAATCTATGAAATTAGAGGGTACTTTATATATACAAGGTTGGCAAAGGTAGGTTACAGTTGTGAGTACGTGAAACACAGTATTCTTCATTTATTAATTATTGTATTATTTATTTGTATTATATAAACCTACTTTTGCCCCACCCCTGTATTATTCATCTCCATTTATTTCACCATTATTTGTTTACTGATGACTTCAACATTATATCTTCAGTTTTAATACAAACTTAAGTAGGCTTAAATTTTTAATAATTACTTATAGAACTACTGGTAGGCAGGCAAAATATGTATATATATATAAAATGCATATATATGATGTATAATATGTATCTAACATATGGTATAACATATATACTATGTACTGTATAAATTTTATATCTTAATCCACAAGTTTTAGTAGACAATGGGAATTTCCTAATTTTCTTTGGGATGGTAAAGATTAATTTGGGGATGAAAAACACAATAAGAAAATGTCTGAGAATAAGAAATCACTGAACATACAGGATGGGACAAAAATAGGTTTATAGTTGTGAGTGCAAGACACAGTTTATTTTTATATTATTAATTATTGTATTATTTTCCATAAGAACAACTGTACACCTTTTCCACCACCCTGTATATGACGAGGCCTTGCTTACAGTTGTTGTTCCATTTATGAAACATCGTGCTATGGGAGGCCCTGTTTAAAATTGAGTTAAACAAGATTCCTGACCTCAAGATGTTCATAAGGTGGTGGCAGTGGCGGGGGCTGGCACAGACCGATCTCTCTGCTGGTGAGATGCGGAAGTGCTGTGAATGAACAACAAAGCACAGGAGCAGGCTAAAGCAGGGAGTGGCGAATTCCGAATGCAGCATTGGAAATGGCTCCGCAGAGTAGAGGAAATTCAAATTAATGGATTTTTGTAGGTGAAACAATGGGATAAAGGTGTTCAGGAAGAAGAGGAGCTTGGGTATCTGTGGTCCTCCAGGGATGGTTTTAGAGTTTAGTGTGGCTAGAGTGCAGTGTATAGG